GGTCCCTTACGGTGTCAGACTTGTCCACCCTCGGGGTCTGAGTCCCCCAAAGCCCAGGGAAGAGCTGGAGCAGGGTGGCCTCTCGGGTTCTTTGTGGGGGGGCTGTCCCTCCTGCTCATGGCCCTGGTGGCCCGACCTCAGATAGTTTGTAGAGCTGAGCCCCGGAGCCAGTGATGTACGCACACGTCTGTGTGTGTGTGTGCGTGTGTGTGTATGTGTGTGCGTGTGCGCCCGTGCGCCCATGGGTATGTGCATGTGGGTAGAAGTTATTTTCCTTCCTTCTGTGCAGCTGAGGAAGGGAGGTTGCCCCCAGAGGGCCCTTTGCCTCAGACAGTGCAAAGGCGCATTCTGGTGTTTGTTCAGGACGGACAGAACAGCCAGCTGGTGAGGCCCCTGCAGGAGCTGTGGGGGTGCCGAGGGACCAGCTGGGGGGGCAGGGGAAGGTGCCAGGTGTGCAGACCACCTGCCCGGGCCTCTTTCATGGAGAACTGCCCCCAAGGGGAGCAGCTGGACAGTGTGGGGTGACTGGTGACCAGTCCTCTGCATGTGGCTTCAGGCAGGCGCTGGTTGACCATTATAGCAAGTTGTCTGCAGAGGCAGCTCGTCGAGAGCAGAAGGCGCTGTGGAGAGTGCAGAGGCACCGGCTGGCGAGCGCACGAGCGGCAGTGTGCAGGGGTCCCTGACCTGACAGTCAAGGTCAGGGGCAGGAGGGAGGGGCAGGAAGAGGTCAGGACGAGGGCTCCCAGCTGGTGCTGGTCCTAGATCTTTGGTTGGGTCAGCGCCCCTCCCATGCCCTTCTGGGAAGGGATGGCAACTCCCTTCAGTTGCTCGGAGACGCGGCTGGGAAGGGGCTGTGAGGGCGTCTGTAGGCTGTGGTCTCAGTGCTGAGGCTCCGGGCCAGGTGGCTCGGGGCGGCGGGGTCAGGACTGCTCTACCTGCGCAGCTGTCGCCTCACGCCCTGGCATTGACTTTCAGGCCATGCTGAGAGACGCATCCGAGGGGAGGCCCCCAGAGCCGCCGGCGGTGCTCCCGAGTGCATGTTCCCAGGTGAGGGGCAGGGCACTTCCAGGGCATGTCACGTGGGCTCTGAGCTGGGGGCCCAGGCCTGTGCTGCCCAGGGGACACAGAGGGTGCCTGTCCTGTGTCCCCACAGTCCCCAGTGTGGAATTTGGGAATAGAGCTAGATAACCAGGGGACCAACAATGCTCTTGTGTTTCAGGCCTCGTCTCTGGGCCCTGGGCACCCCGATGGAGGTGGCAGCTGTGATCCTGGGTGTGCAGAGCAGCACGTGGCTGCCTGGGATGGTCCAAGCCGGCCAAGGGAGCTGACACCACAGCCCCTTGAGCCTCCAGCACTGGGGGCCTGCAGCGGCTCAGAGCTGGGAGCAGGCCTGCAGCCAGGACAGGCCGAGGGGCCAGGGCTGTTCTCTGCAGGCCTCAGTATCCAAGATTTCCTGCCCACAGGCCAGGGCGCTGAGCAGCCTGGGGACGCTGGGGTGGCCCCCGTCTTGGAGGAGGCCCTGCAGACCATCGGCTCAGATCTGCGCAGCTCTGCTTCGTCAGCCACAGTGGGCACGGGCTGCTCGGGGCCACAGGAGTACGATTTCAGAACTGTCCTGAGGCCAGCTCTGGTCACTTCGGCCCCAGGGTCCCTCCAGACTATGAGAGGCAGCTTAGGCTGCGAGGGGCTGCAGCTGTGGGGGGACACTCACGAGTTTAGGCTGGACACCTGTGTCCCAGATGGGCAGGTGGCTCTGCCACACCCATGCGCATCCAGGAATAACCTCCCCGAGGAGGGGAGTGGCCAGGCCATGGGGCGGCCTCTTGGGCATGTGTCTGAGGGTGGCATTCTCACAGGGGGCTATGCTTCTGGAATGGCCCCCTCCCGGCCACGGTGGAACGTCCATGGACATGTGTCTGATGCCAGCATCAAGGTGGGGGAGAACGTGTGGGACGTAGCATCCTCACGGCCACGGTGGAATGTCCACGGACACGTGTCTGATGCCAGCATCAAGGTGGGGGAGAACGTGTGGGACGTAGCATCCTCACGGCCACGGTGGAACGTCCACGGACACGTGTCTGATGCCAGCATCAAGGTGGGGGAGAACGTGTGGGATGTGGTGCCCTCCCGGCCACGGTGGAACGTCCACGGACATGTGTCTCAGTCCCAGGTGATGCTGGGGGCGCCTCCAGAGGAAACCCAGCCTGATACGCCCAGGCCCCTTCAGAGCCCCTCTGACCACGTGTCCCAGCCTGGCCTCAGCCTGGGAGCACAGAGCCCTACCTGGGAACATGGCTCACAGCTGCTGGCAGAACCGGCCTCAGTCGGCGCCTGCACTCAGGTGGCTGGCTCTGGGGAAGAAGGTGGCCTCCAGGCCTTGCCGGGTGCCGAGGCTGGACCCAGTGATGTGGGAGACGGCACCCCTGAGCCAGGTCAGTGAGTCTGCAGAGCTGTCCTGTCACTGGTGGTGTCTGGGTCCAGGAGGGGGAGGAGGAAGGGCGAGAAGTCTGCTGTCCTGGGACTTGGGAGGTGCTGCCCCATAGCAGGCACTGGCCCCTGACGCCCCCTCCCGGCCCGTTTGTGCCACTCAGGCCCGGGGAGGAGTGGGGACACCGAGGACGGCTCTTCAAGTCAGCCTTCCAGCTCTCAGGTCAGGGCAGAGGAGGTTGGGGGCTCAGGGTTGGGGGGCCACGCCCCGCCTGCCCTTCTCTTTTGGACAAAGGGAAGGGGCATGGTCCTGACGCTGGGTTGTCTTAGGAACCTGCAGCCTCCCTGAGCAGCCCGGGCCTGGAAGAGAAGGCGGAGGACGGGGCAGTGGCCAGGCGCCAGGGCAGGGAGCAGGCCTACCTGGCAGGCCTGGTGGAGCAGTACCGCCTGGAGCAGTACCCGGACAGCTACGAGGCTATGTGTGAGTGGGCACGTTGTGGGAGGGCGAGGGGGCGCCCCTGGAGGCCCCTGGGGTGACGTCAGCTGTGCCGTCCCTGCAGCAGAGCCTAACGTCGCGCGCCTCCTGCACCACGGGCTTCCTCTGCCCTTCTCCCTC